AGATTTTCCGATTAAGTTGCGGCCATTCCTCTCATGGAGCCCCAAGACGCATCACTTAGTTGGGGGAATTGTTGTCCCATCTCCAAGATATAGACCAGAGAAGCTTAGCATTTCAATGTGCAAAGTTGCATGCAGCTTGTCATAATCTAGAAATGCATGATTCTATAAATTTATCTACTGGCATTGCTTATATTAATATATTTTGGCCCAAATTTCAAATGTATATAGGATTTGATTGCATTTTGCATCTATGCGACAGCATAGTGACCAAGTATCGCATTATCTTTCATTGAGTTTGGCACCAACATGGTCACTGTATTGTTGCTTTTAATTCCTAAGAGATTGATTGAAATCCATCCATAGCAATTTGGGCCAAAATCTATATGATGGGAATTATTAAATTTTTTTTTTATATATATCAATGGTTTGGTTTTCAGATTGAAGGATAGGGGTATTTGAGGGGGTCAGGGGGAGGGGGGTCAGGGGAGGTGAAAATTTGGATGTGCATGGCCTAAAGCAATTAATCGTAAGAATGGTTTGCACATAAGTTGGAACATTGCCTATGTTAAAACAAACTTTAAGATTATATGTTTTCAAATTAACACTCTAGAATTCACATATTGGGAAAAATATTATGTTTCCATGAAATATAGTCTGTGGGCAGTGTTTCAACTTATGTGCATGAGGCGGATTTAATCCTACTTGAATATAGACATGCAGCAGCAATCAGGTATCCTTTCTTCTTTTGTTCTTAATCCCAGTAATGTGTATCTTTTTTGCTGTATGACCTCTTTGTGCGTTCACTGTCACGTAGTTCTCACTACCTGAATTCTAATTGAAGAACATCTGATGCAGGGTTCTTCTTATTGGATTTGCGTAGAATTACACTCCTTGCCACATCATTATTTTTTTCCACCCCCTGGCCAGTGAAGACTTTGACTGATTGATACAACTGCATAAATCTGGGTACATGGTAGACAAGTGAATGCATATAAGGGGTCACTGCTGCTCTCTTATATCCACTGTGGATTGATGTTCTCCTCAATGATGTAAAAAGGTTTATCCATTCTCTTGCCATTTCAAAATAATTACCAGAGGTATCAGTGCTTGTGCTGTCTGTTGTTATTATCTTGTATAGTTCATGAAATTTTTTCCATATCTGAATTACCACATCACATGTGTCAGGCATTAGGCAATCTATTAACTTATCAGGAAGTTCAGCTAAGAGTTTTTTTTGTCTGAACCAAGAAGACTGGTGAAATCATATTGCCCGGATCCTTTTCCATCCTCAGTTTTTTTCTCCCATATGTCAAAACTGACCCCACAGGATCTAATGGTTGATTGCAATTTTGTGAGATGTATCATATCTCTTTCACACTTTTTTTTAATTAAAATTTGTTTTTTTGTCCCAGGCAATCATTTCTTGTATAATATTGTTTAACAGGACATCCATTACCCTTAGTAATAGATGGAGCTCATCCAAAACAACATAATCTAAATCAATCTTAATGAGGGGCTCATTTTCACAAGAGAATTTGTCTGCAGTCCCCTTTTTATTTGCCATTTTAATTACTTCTTCCAGTGTACGTTGGAGTGGATGAGAGTTATAATAGTCTAAATCCTTGTCCATTTGCCATCTGTATTCTTTGTGTATCTTGCACCAAAGGCATGCATAGTTTGAGGTTGCTCCTTTCATGCCCAACATTATGAGGAGAAATTTATAATCTCCTCACAGGAAAAATTCAAGGCCATATTTTGTATTGTTTATTGTAATTTCACTCACCTCATTTAAGTTATTTATTTCTTCAAAAATGGTGCTGAAGGAATCTCTTAAAGTTTCATAGTTTTCAGATCCTTTTATGATGGCAAATGTGTGATTTCCACTTGCCGACATTACATATTTTCTGTTTTGAAGTAATGAAAAGGAAAGCAATATGAAACTTGAGTTCCTTGTCATTTTTGCTCCATCCCCTGAAATCTTAATCTGAATTTTTTCTTTGCTCCAGTCTACTTCATCATGAAGTTTTACAAATTCTTGAATCCGGGTTTTCGGCATCTCTGTAAATGAAATTTGAGCCCCATCTGCCTCACCGGGGGTTGGGATCACATTACTAATATCATTTAATTGGCTTCTCCTTTGCTTGACCAAGTATGACTTGGGAAGACCATCAGTAATCATGGTTAGCTCATGGTAAAAAGAATCTCCTACACAAAATTTATCAAGCAGGAATAGAACTTGTTCAATCTTTTCTTTGTCCTCATTGGATAAACTATCAAAATTCTGACAGTCATCAACATGGAGGGAATGTATTGTTCCTGTGCCGAAGAAGCATGTTTTATTGCATGCTTTTTATGAAAATCCCTATTCCTCATTAACCTTTTGACATTGGATGTTATAGGCGCATGCCTGTCATGCCTGTCAGGTACTCAATAGGCGCATGCCTGTGAAGTATCTCGAGGAAAATGGATTTCCAAGCTTGCCAACATACATTAGGATCGTCAAATTGGCATACAATATCCCAAGGGATTTGCAATATTTCTTTTATAAAATCACTTTCAACAAAATTTTTATAGTCACGGATTTCTCTAGTAGTGTGCCTGCCTGATTTTGGAACTGTTATACTTTGAACTGCGAAAATCATACTATGATCCGATATTCCAAGATGGATCACACCAGGATTTGATATATTTTCTGGTTCGTTTGTTAAAAACAGGTCGATTAAAGTTGCCGAACCCTCGGCCACCCTTGTTGGTTCAATAATTAACTGGTTTAATTGATATAGAGAGCATGACAGTTGGAGTCTCCGCGTATGGAAATCTGGCACTGCCTTAGCAAAGTCACAGTTTATATCTCCAACAATCATCAATTCTTCGTTTTCCAGGTCGCACTTACGCAGAAATAAATCAAATTCATAAAAAACATCATTATTGGAATTAGGTGGCCTATACCAAGCACTTATTAAGAAAGCCACTTTATGTGGCCTACGTACATCAATACATATTATCATTTCTAGGGGTTCTGGAACTAGATCTTTCCTTTCAGAGAAAGATATAGTATCTCTAATATACAGGCCAACGCCACCCCCAGATCTGATTCGATCATTGCGGACCATAATATATCCAACTATATTAATTTAATTATCTGGAATTGAATCATCAATTTTTGATTCGTTTATTGCAAGAATATCTAAGGAAGAATTGGCTAGAAGTAGACGTAGCTCGTCTATGTGTTTTAGCAGACTACGTATATTCAAACTTGCTATTTTAAAACCTTTTAATTTAGTTATAGCATGCAGCGGGTGGTCATAAATACCTGATGCTGTACCATTCGTTAAGTCAGTTAATGTTTCCTTCTGCGGTGTTCTTCAGAAGGAAACATTGACTGACTTAACGTATGGTACAGCATCAGGTATTTATGACCACCCGCTGCAGAACGACGCTCTACCTTCTGAGCTACAAGGCCAAGTTGGGAACGATATGTAATTTATGTTGGGAACGATATGTAATTTATTTGTGATGTTAATAACATGAACGAATTTCTTCCTTTCCATACCTGGTGCCGGCTATTAATCCAGCGAATGTTGTATATGATTTTTTTTCTTCAGAGTCTAGTCAGAGTTCGTGATGTAATGTGTAGGTGTTTTGATCTTCTTACGAGTATAGTACAGAAAATTCAATTCATTCTACTTGACCACGGCTTGGAATATATATATATATATATATATATATATATATATATATATATATATATATATATATATATATATATATATATATATATATATATAAATATTAGCAAAGTATTAAATTAAACAGTAAAAATTTTCTTAAAATGCTGGTAATCATTGGTCCAGACCCTTTAAATACATTGGTCCAGACCCCTTAAACTTGTCCTTGTTTATATTCCACTATATTGTATAAATTCGCTGGGTCCAAATTTTGGGGGGAGTCCAGTATTTTCCATAGGAAACCGGCACAATTCTTTGAAAATTCAAGGAAACCGTGTGAAATATATATTAGATCGCTCAGTGAAAAGCCGCCATCTGGAAACTGAACTGAATATGTCAATGGAGCACGCTATCCTTGGAGTTCGGAATTGTGCGCGTGCGTACAAGTGTATGGGCTAATAAACGAAAAATGTACCACGAGCATGGCATGAGCCGGCTATTACGTACATAAATACGAGTTGTTACTATAGTATTCAAATCATGGAACCGAGGAATTGATGGCGATACAATTTTCAAAACTGAAACGGCAGTGCCGACATAGCTCTAACTTCCGAAAAGCAAAAGCGACAGCCTTTCTGAAGTGCTTATAGTGTTTAGAAGGGTTGCTTTTAGGGGTGATTATTGGAAGGAAAAATTTGTGTAAGTATAATATTTTACAAGAAAATGACCATTTATCACACCCAGGTAAATTGCTAATTATGCATAAAATAACTAATATACATGGCAGAAATTAAATATCCTTATTTCCAAAAAAAAATTATCATGGGATGAAAAACTATGCTTAATTTAATATAATTATTGTAGTTTTCATAAGGAAAGTCATTGTTTTCTATAAATATAATATATTTTATTTCAACTTATACCCCCCACGAAAACACGATTTCAGCCATATTTTGCCGTCTTGTTTGCTTTATATCGCCGTGTCTCGCAAATAACATCCAGTTGTTGAACTTTTACATAATGGCAAATGGTTAAAGAAGATGTCAACCAAGTTTTGGTTAGTTTTGAAGCAGTGCGGTGTATTTTATCTTCGATATTGTGTCCTTCCATATTTCGTCTAATATGCCTCCATTTTAATGGATCGTCGATTGTCTGCCCGATAAATGCCACTTCTTCGTCTTCATACGTATTTAGATTACAGTATCCAAGAGTACTTCATTGTAGAATAGTCCTAATTGAAAAATTGAAAACATTACTTGCACTTGGAAGGAAAAACCTCCCATAACAAATTCAGGATAGCAATAAAAACAAATAATTTGAAAGTCACGTGCAATCTTCGCGAAAATTCCTCTGGCTACTTGGACAGGGGGGCGCAAATATTTTCACGAAACGTTTGTTCGATTCAAGTTTCAACTAAATATATTGTATTTATTGTATTTTATGATTTAAAGATAAAAACAATAAATATTTACGTATTTTTGTTATCAACCATAAAAATACAATAAATATATAATATCCAGTTAGGTCGCTATGGGCGAACAACTTTTCGTGAAAACATTCGCGCCACCCTGTCAAGTAGCCACGAGGAATTTTCGCCAAGATTGCGCGTGACTTTCAAATGATTTGTTTTTATTCCTATCCTGAATTTGTTAAGGGAGGTTTTTCCTTCCAAGTGCAAGTAATGTTTTCAATTTTTCGATTAGGACTATTCTACAATGAAGTGCTCTTGGATATGAAGATATAGAAATATGAAGACGAAGAAATGGAATTTATTGGGCAGAGAATCGGCGATCAATTAACATGGCGGCATATTAGACGAAATATGGAAGGAGACAATATCGAAGATAAAATACACTGCACTGCTTCAAAACTAGCCGAAACTTGGTTGAAATCTTCTTTAACCATTTGCCATTATGTAAAAGTACAACGACTGGATGTTATTTGCGAGACACGGCTATATATAGCAAACAATTAGACGGCAAAATATGGCTGAAATCGTGTTTTCGTGGGGGGTAAGTGAAATAAAATATATTATATTTATAGAAAACAATGACTATCCTTATGAAAACTACAATAATTATATTAAATTAAGCATAGTTTTTCATCGCATGATAATTTTTTTAGGAGATAAGGATATTTAATTTCTGCCATAGTATATTAGTTATTTTATGCATAATTAGCAATTTACCTGGGGTGATGAATGGTCATTTTCTTGTAAAATATTATACTTACACAAATTTTTCCTTCCAATAACCACCCATATAGCTAAAGGCAAGTAGGCAACCCTTTTACACGCTATAAGCACTTCAGAAAGGCTGTCGCTTTTGCTTTTCGCAAGTTAGAGCTATGTCGGCACTGCCGTTTCAGGGCGGGGTCATTTTCAGGACTTTCGTCCCGGATTCAGGTTTTGGCACATATGCCATGTTGACCACCATGGTCATTTTACCCTAAAAAAGTTGAGATTACCTGTGGTAAATGAAACGCATACAAAGTCCTATGCAGGTCCTAGACTATAATAAGAAAATAAGAACTGGAACCCCCAATTTTTTTCGTGTACTATTTTACTTAGAACATAGACTAACAAAAAGCAAAAAATTCTGTAATGCCATTTTTTTGAAAAACGCCAAAATGTCGTTTTCTTCGACAAAATTATTTGACATTACTGATTTTTTTTTATTTTGGGAATATTGAAAGATTTTTGCACTACAGTGCAGTGTGCAAAATTCAACATAGGTCACCGGACAAAATAATGAGATACAGCGCACTGTTTTTAAAAATTAAGGTACGTTTACACCATAAATATAGGAGATCTAGATTGCTAACGCATACCTAGCGCAGGTGGGGCCTACATGATAAATCCAAGATGGCGGTACAACAGGGCAAAAAGACTATAGATTCTATTACGAAAATCAGGATTTTTGCATTTTTTGCCGTGGCATTGTTTCGAAACTTATTCGGTCAAATTTTATGGTAAAGAGAAACTTACCGCGAAGATTTTGAGCATATATATGATTGAATTGGATGAAAACTCGCAAAATTATCCATCGATAAAAGTTCGTGTGAAATGGTCAGTTGGTCAGTTGGAGCGTTTTATTGCCAGAAATACTGTGCTATGTTAACATCTAGCCTTGTGAATGGTGTTTTATACTTGCATCTCTCATCATCATCTGCTCTGTCCTCATAATTATGAAAAATGAACTGTTATGTACCCCCCCCCCCCTCCTTGCTTGTTAGAGAAGTAAACTGATGAGAGCACTGGATGAGGGTCTATCATCTATGGTCTGTTATAATTTGCTTTTTATGCAGATAGTGAGCAAAAATTAAAGCAAAACTGTACAAGTTACATATATAGTACTATATCAGTACTATACACGAACTTTTATCGATGGATAATTTTGCGAGTTTTCATCCAATTCAATCATATATATGCTCAAAATCTTCGCGGTAAGTTTCCCTTTACCATAAAATTTGACCGAATAAGTTTTGAAACAATGCCACGGCAAAAAATGCAAAAATCCTGATTTTCGTAATATAATCTATGGTCTTTTTGCCCTGTTGTACCGCCATCTTGGATTTATCATGTAGGCCCCACCTGCGCTGGGTATGTGTTAGCAATCTAGACTCCTATATCTATGGTTTACACACACTTATTGATCGGTCCGATTCAGATATTACATGACAAATCTATTAAATTTTAACACTTTTCTCCTCTAAGCCGTACAAATTTTTATTCAGAATCACTAGGAAATTTTTCTTTCAACGCCTCATTTTACCTGAGAGTATTAATAGGCTGGCTTGATACAATTTTGAAAAACTTCAAGTGTATAACAGTTTGACTGTTTAAAACGTCGTATTTTTAGGTTTTATGAAGCAGATAACAAGATGTTCATCCATTTTAATATTTCTTCTTTCAAATTTACTTCAGTTTTGGAAACACATAGTCCGTTGCTATGGCAACACGCAGGTACGAAATTCACTCTTGGATAGCCTATTGCTATTCGTGCACTATTTTACCTAGAACATAGACTAACAATAAGCGAAATATAAAAACATTCTGTAATGCCTTATTTGAAAAACGCCAAAATGTCGTTACCTTCGATAAAACTTTTTGACTTTACAGATCTTTTTGTTTTCGGAATATTGTAAGACTTCTGCACCCCAATAAAGTGTGCAAAATAATGAGATATAGCTAACGCACTGTTTTTAAAAATTGATGTATCTAATGATGTCTGCAATTGACATGGAAATGCTGATACAACACGGACAATGGCGCGAGATGCTAACAATAAGAAATATAAAAAATTCTGTAATGCCTTGTTTGAAAAACGCCAATATGTCGTTTTCTTCGATAAACTTTTTTGGCATATATTACAATGTTTTTTTATTTGGGAATATTAAAAGATTTTTGCACTACAATACAGTGCGCAAAATTTCAACATAGGTCAGTAGGTCACCGGACAAAATAATAAGATATAGCTAGCGCACTGTTTTTAAAAATTGGCATTTCTAATGACGTGAGAGATTGACATGGGATGTGCTCATATAACATGTACAATGGCGCGAGATGGCGTGGGCAAGTCGCCAAGCCAGGTCAAATACGTACAGTAAGTACTTTCGTTAATATTCCCGCGGAAACGAATTGTCACGTGAGTTTGTTCAAAAAGGAAATGTTTTGTTTCACGATTCTTGCCTACATAATAATAATAATTTATTAATTATATTGCGCAAATATCCGTATGTATATAATCAAATGCGCACAATTTTGTGTGGATTAATATATCGAGCCACCTTAACATGCATGAAGTAATTTCAAAGCCACATTTTCGCATTTTAGCGAGTGAAACTGTTCATGGCATCAGATTTTCCCGTGTGCCACATACAAGGCAGTCGAGCGAAAATCACTGAATAAATGAACTGTAAAATGTGTATTCACGTACCTGACGAAAAGCATCTTGGATTCAAAATTTCTCTTCAGACACTTCAAAACTTCTCGCGTTCCTCAGCTTGTTGTATGCAATGAAAAACTGCCTTGACAACAACCGTTTTTACCAGCATGTAAGGCCGAAAACATACGAACAGCCTCATTAACATCTTTACGTAAAATCGACGATTGCTATTGGTTGCCCTTTCTCGATTCGTCTGCAACCGTAAAATTCTGAGATGTTATTGGTTGTTACTTATAGGGAACATATGCTGAATAAATTACATCTTGAAATACGCATATGTGTTATCCACCTGCTAATTAACTGTTCTGTCAATAAAATGTCAGTTAAACCTGCAGGTTAACTTTTACAGCAGCTGTTATCCGCTTTTGACTTTATTATACCTATTATCGCATTTTAAGAAAACATGAATCATGAAACATTATGCCAGTTTTGCGCTCATACACATATTTATTGATAATAAAACCTATACCAAAATAGGTTAAAGGCAATATATTTTTAAAATTATAAATAATACAAACAATTAAAAATTGCATAGTTTGATTCGTTGCTATATTTGGTTACGCCAACTGTCCTTGCACCAGAAAAAGGCAAAATGTCAAAGATTTTTGATATTTAGTACCCAGATTTCAGGATACCAGCTGCAACCACTTCTGCTGTCTTCGAATTATCTTTTACATCGTTGGTGCCTATGTGTAGTATCACCTCATCAGGTTTTTTGCGGATAAGTGGTTTAAGGAAGTCACACATATCTTCGATTTTGCTTCCTGAAAATGATTTTACCGCTACTCGCCGTTCAGCATCAGATAACTCCCAGCCGTGGACATGTTGGACTATTGAATCTCCACTAGCTATAAATACAAGCTTACTAGGTTGATTTGTAGTGCCCTTTTGAGATGTAGTGGCTCTCGTCGAATTCGCAGTAAGATAACTACGATTATTATCATTGGACTTTGACTTTTTGCTTTGACCATAAGATTGGGTTGACTGATTTTTCTTTTGTGCACTATCATACTTCCTCGAGTCGACGTTTGGGCTATTTAGTCTAGATTCAGATGGCAATACAGTGTTAAGCTTCAAAGTACTATCATCTACATTTGTGTCGCTTTCATTATCAGAACAACTTTCCACAGACAAGATATCAAACGTATTATATTTGATGTTTTTGTCACTGCCTCTGGTGCTTAGTGATTATTCAGATCAGTCATGCGTACGGTTATATTATGCCCATCATGAGAGGAAATATTATGTGCATTACTGACCGTTACTTTGTGCTTTAGACCTTGAAGTTTGCCACGAACTGCAAGCCGAATCTCTGTCATTTATTGTTGCTAAATTGTTGTCTTCTTGTAATAGCTTTATAGCAGTGACTAGACTAAGCTTTTCACTTTCGATATCTTTAATTTTGGTGTTTAGGTCAGAGACAACGTAGGAGACAGAATTGAGTCTATCTTTAAGACTGTCGTTATCGATCCTAAGCTGAATATTTTCTTGTTTGAGCTCATAGTTTTGGGTCTCTAAGTTGGACAAGCAATATTTGGCAAGTTCGTTTATCCTTTCGCTGAACTGTAATTCTTTTAGCTGATCAAATTGATCTGCAAGAGATTCATCTATTCGTTGAAGTTCCGCTCTCGTTTTATCAATGTGCTGATCTAGATTTGATTTAATTTCGCTTACCTGATTTTGAAAGTAAACATAGTCAGAAGAGTCCTTGGCAGTTACCTGAGGGCTTTCTTCCGATTGAACAACTTCGTCTACCTTCCCATGAATTCGAGTTGAAGCTATACTGTCGCCGTCGCCTTCGGCAGAAATCAACTCGTCATCTTGTGAGTCCTCAACACTTTCGTCCATTGGTTTTGCGATCAATTTAAGCTCGTTTCGAAGCGATTCACCATCTTGACCTTTAATTATCAGTGAATTATTTGTTGAGTACCATCTGATCGTTATATCTTCGTTTTCAAATGATTTACATCCACCTCTGGGTACAAGCCATCTTGAGTCGATCTTCAAGATTTTATCACAAAACTTTTTAAGTTCCTCAAAGCTACCCAGCCATTTGAAAGAACCTCTAGTTGTAATGAAAAATTCAGCTTGAGAATTGTCCTGATTCATCGCTATATCAATCAGTGTATGTCTCACGAAATTAAGTTCTTAAAGTCGATTTAACAGAGCTCTAAAAGGCACGTCCGTTTCGCTTGAGGTTATTTTCTTCGATAAACCTTTTTGGCATATATTGCAATTTTCTAAATTTAGGGAATATTAAAAGACTTTTGCACTACAATACCACTGTATTGGGTACTAATTCCGGCGAGGGTATTAATTCCGCCCGGCTATTAAATTTACACCCGGGGAAAC